GGCGCTGCGGGCCGTGTGGGGCGGGCTGGTCGCGCCCGGGGCGCCCTCGGGGCCGGGTCGCGTCGGGCCGCAGCTGCTGGTGCTCAGCGCCCTTGCCGAGAAGCTGCTGCCCGAGCCCGGCGTGGTGCGCGCCCTAGCCGCGCGCGAGGCCGGCCCGGACGCGCGGCGCTGCTGGCGCTTCTGGAGGACCGTGCAGGCTGGGCTGGCCCAGGCCGAGGACGCCCTGACGCGCAAGCGGGCGCGCTACCTGCTGCAGCGCGCGGTGGAGGTGTCGGCGGAGCTGGGGGCGGAGTGCGCGTGCGCCCCCCAGGAAGGAACTGGTACTCGCCCCTTCCCCCCACCCCAAGGGCCCATCCCTGCCTGACTTTCTGGGAGGGAGTTCCTCTGCTGCCGACAGTCAGCTCCAGGGGTCATCTCCGCGATCCATACAGAATTTGGTTATTCTCATGGTTCCCAGAAAGCCCGAAAAACCTGGGGACCCTCATCTCAATGTTGTTCTTTGAAGTGATAACAAATCACTGCAATAGTCTGCATTTCCTCACCTTTCTGACCCACAGCAGTGAGATACTGCATCAGTGGGGTAATATAGGAAGGGGACTGAGCCCCTGCAGGATTTTACAGACAAAATTGTACCTATGTCGTGGTAGGTCCGTTCTAATGAAGGGCTAGAGCCCATCAGAGGGGTAGGAAAACTATTTGCAAGTACTGGTCGGTGAATTGACTCTTGAATGTTAGAATTTTGTCCTGGAAACCATCACACTCTTGAAATTTCTCTTGGTAGTTCTCTAAGCAGGATTTGTTCAGCATATGGGCCTTAAGTCGACCTTTTGAGGGTATTTTTGCAATTCATAAGAAAAGAATGAAGTTTTAATTTTTTCTAACATTTTAAGCCTGTGTAGGAATAAATTCCCACCGCTTTATTGCAGAACAAGAGCAGATGAAATAGCAAGGCCTTTCAGTTTGGTTTGTTCGTTGAAATATGTGAAAGTCATCTTAAGTTCATTTTGAGCTGTCAAAATCCAAAGTGGATTAAGTGATTCAAAACTGCCTCAGTAGACACAAAATTTCTACTTTTTCACCTGTAGCTGCCTACTTACTTATACTGGTAAAGGATTTTTGCTTGGCTGAAATTGTGAGATTAGATTTTTATGTAAGTTGAAAACATGAGATAGTAATATTTTAATGGTCCGTAAGTTGGTGATCATCCAATAAGAGTTGTCACTGGAAACATTTTTAAAATTACCAAAGTTAAACATGCATTTATTTTAAAGAGTCAATCCTTCTGCAGATTTAAAGATAATGGTCTTTCCATGCTTGCCCCTCCCCCCTAGTTTCCTTCCTTTCAGAGAGATCAACCACTTTTACCTCTTTTAGCTGATTATTTTGGTATTTGCCCCTCTATCTTGAAATAATCTAGTTATATCATGAAATCCTTTGTCATACTTATCATTTTGGTTAAGTGTGGGTTCAACATTTACAAAATTATGACCATGAAAATACTGTTCACAGGTGATGTATGTAGTAAACTATGATGATTTTTTCCTTCCTGCAGGTTTTTCCTAGATTTGTGTCATTTTAAAATTTGTTTGGTTATCTCCATCCTTATCACTAATTCAGCCCCAAATTCTTAGTTGTCTAAATCTGCTGTACAAAGTCAGATCATCCGGCATTATAAGTTTTCCCAAAGTCTCTCCTAGTGTCCTCTTACAAGCTCAGCCTGGTGCACAGATGACATTCTTAGATCTGCCTTCACCATCATCCGGGGGATTCCCTTTACCTGAGTCCTGTGTTGGAGCTCTTGTTTCCTGGAGTTCATATCTTGTTTTTTGGTTTACTCATTTATTTTGTTGTACTTCATTTTCCATTAGTTTCCTAAGATAATTTTTTTCTGAGATAAAAAATTTTAAGACCTTGCATATCTGATAATTTTGTCAAAGGATCCTTAATTTCTGATGTTTTTATTTCTGCCCTTTCCATCTGACCCTTTTTTTTTTTATAGTTTTCATCTCCTGAAAGTCCCCATCTGTTCGTGCATGTTGTGTATCTTTTCTGCTAGATTCTTTAACGTACTAATAATCTTGATTATGTACAAGTTCTATACCTGGACCATCACTAAGCCTGGTATTGTTTTCTATTTTATCTCTTGGCAAAGGACCACTTGACCTTTGAAAACTTGTCAAAATTTTATTTTATTTCTTAACTGCTTTTTATTTTAGTGGCCATCGCTTCCTCTTCTGCTTGGCCAGAGGCAGAACAGTTTGTGTGTCCTGTCTATTCTTGGGAGGCGTCCTGCCCTTTGGAATTCACAACACCTGGTTGCACTGCAACCTCAGCTCTCTGACGGGCACCCCCAAAAGCTTAGGCTTCTGTAGATTATCCAGCCTTTTCTCTTCGTTGGTATGGCAGTCCTGTTCTCGTGTGGCTTTCTATGTCCCAAGTCGGGGCCAAGACCAAGCATGTCTAGAGCCTTTGTTTTGCTCTCACATTTGATCATTTGATCGAAGGTTTGATTGGGGTAGAGTTCTAGCTTGGAAAACATTTCTGTTCAAGATTTTAAAGGTGTTGATCTGTTGTCTTAGAAGCTAGAGCTTCAGATGTTACCGGGT